TGTTGATGGTGGTGGTGCGGTATCTTCATCACTTCTGTCTTCTCTATATTCACCTGAAGTCCCGTCTTAGCTGCCTCTTCTGTCAACTTGTTAGTTTTTGCCTGCAGATCTTCAAGTTTATGTGACATTAGGCATAAGTCATCGGCGAAATCCAAGTCTTCTAGGTTCTTTTCCGTCGTCCAGTGTATCCCCCTCTTCTCGCTGCCTACTGTTTGCTGCATGATCCAGTCCACCACAATAAGGAATATCATGGGGGATAGTAGGCAACCTTGTTTCACTCCTGTCTTCACTTCAAAGGCATCACTGAGCTTCCCATTGTGGATTACTTGGCATGTGGCATCTTCATATAGTTGTTGAATGAGGCGGATAAAGGTTTGCGGTACTCCGTAGTATTGAAGCAGTTTCCAAATTACTTCTCGGTCGACGCTGTCAAAGGCCTTCTCAAAGTCGATGAAGTTGAGGTATAGAGCTGATTGCCATTCTACGCTCTGTTCTATGATGATACGAAGCGTTGCAATTTGGTCAGCACATGATTTGTACTTCCTGAAGCCTGCCTGTTCCGGTCGCAGTTTTGAATCCAGTGCGTCTTTAAGCCTCTCCAGGATGATGCGGCTTAATATTTTACTTGGGGTGGATAGGAGAGTGATTCCGCGCCAGTTCTTGCAAGCACTGAGGTCTCCCTTCTTCGGCAGTTTGACAAGGTAACCCTTCTTCCAATCGTCAGGTACCTTCTCTTCCCTCCACACCTTCTGCAATAGTGGTGTGAGCATGTCCGCTGTTGTCTCTGCATCTGTTCTCAGTGCTTCTGGCGGTATTCCATCTGGTCCTGCTGCTTTCCCGCATTTCAGTAGCTTTATGGCGTTCAGGACTTCCATTTTCGTTGGGGGATTTATGTTCACTTGTAATTCAGCGGCTGCAGGTGGTATTTCTGGACGAAGTGCAGGTGGTGGTCGATTCAAGAGCTTCTTGAAGTGGTCGGCCCATCGTTTCCTCTGTTTCTCTTCTTTTGTAATTAAATTTCCTTCTTCATCTTTTATTGGTTTCATCTGTGTTGGTCTCTTCCCTGATAGCAACCTGGTTATTTGATACAATGTCGTCAGGTCTCTCTTACCTGCAGCCTGTTCTGCTTCACTTGCCAGTGTGTCGTAGAAGTGTCTTTTGTCTTTGCGTGCACTCTTCTTCACTTCTTTATCCAGTGTTTTATACATTGTGCTCAGTTCCTCTTGTCGTTGAGCATCCTTGCACTGGTTTATCTTCTGCTTCACCATCCTCCTCTCCTCTATCAGCTTCCAGGTATCCGTCGAGATCCATTCCTTGTCTTCTTTCTTCTTCCTTCCTAATACTGTTGTGCAGGTTTCTTTCCACATAGCTTTCAAAGACTTCCAGTGTTCTTCTACACAGGTTTCTTCAGGGATGTCCCTCGACGTCTCCCATTTTGTCTTGATGGCTGCCTTGAAGATCTCCTTTGTAGTTTCATCCTTCAGTTTCCGAGTGTTGTACTTGAATTGAGGTCTATCACCAGCTTCCTTGAAGGCTTTTAACTTGATTTCGAAGGTTCCTTGCACTAGATAGTGGTCTGAACCTACATCTGCTCCTCTTCTTGACCTTGTGTTAAGTAGACTGCGTCTCCATTTTCTTGAGATTGAGATAAAGTCGATTTGGTTTTTAGTGTGTCCATCTGGTGAAATCCATGTCGCTTTGTGGATATCCTTGTGCCTGAACACACTGCCTCCAATCACCAAATCGTTGAATGCACAGAATTCTGCAAACAATTCTCCATTCTCATTCATTTCACCTAGCGCCTCTCGACCCATGGTTAGTTCTCTTCCCGTGTTGTCCCCTCCCAGTTTGGCATTCATGTCGCCCATTAGAATTTTGATATCGCCAACTGACGTCTTGTCCAGTGTTGATTGAAGTTGTCTGTAGAATTCCTCCTTTTTCTCTTGCTCTGCATTATTTGTAGGTGCATAACATTGTATGATTGTGACCTTTCTTCCTTTTGAGTTGAATCTTGCTGTCATGATCCTGGAGGAGATTGGTTCCCACTGCATGAGAGCCTTCGATGCTCTTGAGGACATCATGATAGCCACTCCCTCAGTGTGCTCGTGGTTGGCGTCTGGGTGACCGGAGTAGATTATTGATTCTCCCGTTGACAGTTTGGAGAGTCCACTCCCATTCCATCTGCTTTCGCAAATCCCAAGCACTTCGATGTTATACCTTCTCATCTCCTTTGCAATCTGGGCTGCCTTACTGGGTTCAAACATCGTGCGGACATTCCATGTCCCCACGTTACACACAATTATAGTTTCAATTATTGTATTGCCAGAACTTCAGCAAAGTAAACGTTTCTTCACATCCTTCAGAAGACTACATTGTACTTTGTAGATTGGTATGAATTAATCTTTCAGAACTATGTTATTTATTATCATTATTATATTTTGATTAATTGGTACAAAAGGTGTTAACAGTTTATTTCACTGTAGAGTATCTACTAAACACTTCGTATAATAATCCCTTGATTTCAATAGCTCTATTCACGTTTTCGTATTCATTTAGTAAATTTAGTGCGATAACTTCTATTCACTAGATTATGCATTAGCCGAAGTGTAACTAAATAGTGTTATAAGAAGAAATTTGATTCCATCAGATAATGGAATACCCATTCGACTTTTTTTACAGATGAATGTTTACGTTACCTCCAGAAAACCGTAATGCTTACGTTTGTTCACAAACAATAAACATATGCTTAGTCATTCAGACGAAGTAGAGTCAATAATAAATTACTAAAGGTTGGTGCTTGCAAAGGTACTTTGAAAAGATTATCTGGTAAATATCAGTCATGACTTCTAGAGTGTACTAATGAAGGAAGCTAGAGTTGATTAACAAACTATAAATATCTTACTGTAGTTCAATGTCTTGTACTCACTCAGGTTTTTTTTAAAAGTACCCTGTCTTTTTCAATGAATTTTGGATTTTAAGGACCATTTTGTTGTGTGTTATGCAAGTCGGCTCTACCCAGTTAAAAAATGATAATATATTCTCATTCTTCCTCTTGAATGTCGTAACATGTTTATTGATCTCAATTACTCATTTCGCATTCGCTTGTGCACTGACAAGTGTGTACTCACTTTAATTCTTGTTTGCAAATCACATCTACTCATATTATCAAATACTTTCATATTTCTTTCATGAATTCCACTGCCATATTATTTTCATAGCCACAGACTACTAACAATCCAGCTGATGAGTCCCAAATAGGACGAAATGCGCATCCTGGATTCCACTGCTGGCCACGATCCATCACTAATATAATTAGAACGCAGGCAATATCGAAGCATCCACACAGGAGCCCATACACCAATAGAGACCGATCAATTCGGTCCAAGCAACGACGGTATGACCTAAAAACAATTATACTAACAATTATTGCTTAATAAATATTGACATTTTTATGTACACTAGGTATAGTTAAAATCACTGGGTTTATCACATTTATCTTTTTATCCCACTCATTGTTAAACTGGATATGAACTTGACACGATCTAAAATTTTTTAAAGAAAGGTCATTTCGTTTTTCGTGTACACTTGACCTTGTACACAGTCACAAAGACAAATAAAAGTAACAGTTTGTAGCCATCTTAGTGACCTTCAATAAATAAAAACATGTGGAAATAATTGACCATGCAGTAAATGCCTAAATATTGTGTTTAACCCTATGACATCCTATGTACTTTTGAATATTCAGTTCAACTTTATGTCAATTCGTTTGTCTACAGTGATCAGAAGAAGTGATATGTCTAAGTCATGTGACGCAGTATGAGGTCATAAGCTTGAAGCTTTGTCTAAAAATGTATGAAACATATACTAGTAATCTGTTTTGACTGTATATGGTGCAGGTAAAGCTACATCTTTTAACAATTTAATAAGGTAATGCAAAGAAAGGGATACTGTGAAATTATTAACTTTTTATTCTCTTTACATTTTAAACACTTTACGATTCCCATAACAAAACATTCTGAACAAAGAATATGCTTTTCAGTAAATACATATCAGGTTCTACAATTATAAAATACAATTGTACAGCGTAAAATAAGCCAATTTTGAGGTGATTGCATTTTCAAAATGGAATCTGATTCAGGAAGTCCAGGGAGATTGATTTTTCTTTTTTAATTAGTTACTACTAAGATGCAAATGAAGAATATGATGGTGAAAGAAAAAACAATGAATTAGCAAGACCAAGGTAGCTTTCGGTTTATTGAATGACAAAGGAGAAATAAACTTTGAACGTGTTCTTTCTGAATGAAAAGTTCAGGTTTGATCAATCGTACTGCAATAATATGCTGTATTGAACAGGTGTTGGCGACATACACGTGTTATTGTTTCTGGTACACGATATATGACATTAAAAACTCTATATTTGCATTACACTTATCTACATCTAACACTGAGAAAAACTCACTCATCTATTTAGCATATCTTATGTACCTAGAAAACTTTTCTGCCCTATTAGTTTTACACCAAACAGATGGCAAGATTTTATCTAACGCAGTCAACATAGGTCCTCATTCATCAGCTAACACGACTGTTATTATCAACTATATTTCAGACTGAACCATCTAATTCACATCTGAGTTTAATCAAAGAATTTTTAAAGTAGCCTACTCACTACAGATTAATTATATTCACCACAAACTGTTTAAAAAAAGCACAGGTTTGACCTTTATACTGACCTAAAGTAGTAGTAAATAGAATGCTAGTTTGTTGTTTCATATTACAAACAATATCTCTGAACTCTACTTTTTTCGTTGCTGTTTCTGTCACCTACCGTTTTGACTTCTACCTCAGTCTAGGCTTTCTTTCAAGTTTAATTATCATTCTAAACTTACTTATCATTGCATATTGATTTTAATTTGATCATAAAGAAATGATTAAATGAGTTTGTCTCAAAATACTTAGTACGCAAATGCTTCCCACAAAAATAAATCTTTTTTTTATTACAGTTATACACGTACTTATGGAAAAGGAGTTTCAGCGATATTCAGCTATGAGAATGACCTTTTATTTACAACTGGAAAAGAATGTTTCCTCTTGGTATGGAGTACGATGACGGGACATATATTAAAGATTATAGCACAAGGCTGTGCAGAAGGTATTCTATCAGGTCTGTCAGCGCCTGGATTAAATACAGAAGTAACAATGACAAGCATATCAGCAACCACACCAACAACGAATCCACCACTTAATGGTTCTGTCCTTGTAATCTGTCATTTCCCAGACACATCAGCACCACAGTACAGTGAGTCACCTGACCAAGCAATGTTTATTATGTGTAAAATATTCAATGTTAAATCTCTACGTAAACCAGACAAACATTTAGCTGTATTAGGTAGTCAACTGTTTGACACTTCTGTTGTAGACCAAAATCTTAATACAAATTTAAATTTGGAAGAAATTGCTACCGGTGGTCCATTGGTATACAGTCCAGCCAATATGTCTATTGAATATGTTTATGAAGATGCTTTACCAACGTTGGTTTTAGTAACGCGTAGAAAAGAAGAGAGAGATGAAGTAGATAATTTAATATTATATGATTTGGATGAAGATTCTAGCAATCCAATCTACTCATGGTCTGATAATAGAATCAATGCAAATTCAATAGACTCCTTCTTAACTACGGAACAACTTGAAGACTGGGCTGCTAATACTACTACTATTGCTGCTGCTGCTGCTGATGCTAGTGGAAACGACAATGACAATCAAAGTAATAATGATAACCTTAGCAGTATCATTAATAATAGCATTTCAGTATACTTACATACAACTGCGACAAAAATTAAAGTATTAACAATGTTTAACAATCATCAGTTATTGGATATCTACACATATTTAGATCCAGAACATATTGAAGATTATTTGCCTAATCTTTATGTGCCGACATCAAGTGGTTATATTAACAGTTTTGGTCTGCTGCAATCGAAATACGGTATGCTAACACTGATACAACCATTATTTAGTGATGGGGAAACTCTTTGTTTACTAATTAAAGTTTTAATATCTTCAAATAATAATAAGAATGGATTTAAGAGTATATGGGGTGAACAACCTAGACAGATAAATTTATTTGAAGCATATCAGTTAATCAAAACAGCTGGTGGATTGTTACTGGATAAACGTGATTTAGAGCCAATATCATTAAATCTATTGACTAATCGACCAAATTATCCTAATCACATAATTATTGGTTTAAATGAATCCCATAAAACATTATATCCTGTAACTAGAGGTGATGGGAGAACAATCGTTTGGTTAGGTGTTATCGTGATTGTAGATTTAGGCTATCCTCAGGAAAATGAAGAATACTTCGTCAAAAATATTGATAAGTATCCTCAAATCTTATACACAACACTTATTGACTACGGTCCAAATTTGATATTATTCTCAGATGGAATGACTGCCATTAATTATCGACAAACTGTTTACAACATTGTTACTGGAAATCGAAATTATGAATCAGAAAGTAACGAAGTTGATAAATACTTACAAAAAGTGAACTCTGACCACTTCAAGTTGTCACATGAAGATATAAAAGACAAGGATGAACCAGGAGATGAAGTATTGAATATTGATCTTACAGACGAAAAAACTTACAACAGTTAAACAAGTGGGAAAATTTATTGTTAACAAATTGTCAAATGAAGAAAACTATTTCATTCAATCAACTGTGTTAGCATCAAATGGAAGATTGCTGATAGGTAAAAGACATCATCCTGAGCAAAAGATCCATTTAGACTTGGCTGATGAATCATTCTCTGATAGCAACGACTCGGATGATTCAGAAGCGGATTATGGTGCATCACCAGCAAGATGTTTAGTCGCCTATGAAATATCGACAACAAGAGAAACTTCATCATCACTGTCATCTTCATCGAGAATAACAAATGATGTACAACTGAACCTTCTAACAGAGTATATGTTTGAAAATGAACCATATATGTTATGGTTATCTAAAGATGGAAAAACATTGATTACTGTAACACCAAATGAGTATTTAAGAGGATTTGATGTCTGTTTAAATCAAGAAGACGATCGTTGTCAAGGATTGCAGGAATATGTGAATTCACAAACGCAATTAAAAGGTAAATATATAGTTTATTTGAAAGAAAGCATTTGTATATTTTTCAGTGTAATGAATGTTATTGTAAAGTATATTATTTAGCTGTGATGAGATTAAGTGTTCCAGATGTTTGACATTCCATCGTTTGGTTTTGACCTCAAACCTGACTCTATTCACCAGGGTTTCGTTAGCCGAGTAGTATATTTGACCACCACAAGAAATAGATGCCACTCATGACATAATGATCTGAATGTATACCTGATAACTATGTCGCATTTATTTATTTGCATTTAAATTACACAAAATTTATTTTTCTGCCAACAAACTAAATATGTTTCAAGGTTTGTTCCGAAAAAACCGATTTATTGCCTGGTGTTAACTGTCTTATCACTCCGAAAAACTTTTTCAAAGATAATTTCGTGTGAAAAGATGTTATGCAATTTTACCGCATTCCCAAAGTATAACAAAAACTTCTAATTCTCTACATAAGTTTTACATAAGTTATTTTGACTTGAATACCTGATGACATCTGAAAAAACAATATCTCTGTTCGATTGTTTCAGGTCTTCAGCAGACAACTGTATCAGTTAACGATAAAAACTGTAAAAATGTAAAAAAAAATGAGGATATCAGAAAGAAATAAACTAGCTGTGATAAATTTATGAGTGACTTTATAGGCCACTGTAGAAAATAGTAAAATAACCATTGCAACTGAAATAGACAAGCCTGATTGGTTAGACTGGAGCTTTCTAGGGTGGCCTTTCGAGTCACTTGAATTAACTAATTATGTCAGAATGAATTTCAATGCCATCTCAAGAAACTTAATTTGATGATCATTGAGTGACCTTAATAGATGAGACTTAGTCAACTAGTAGAGATGAACAATATTGCACTTCATCGAACGATAACTGTATCTAATAATTGCCAAATGTCAAGCAAAAAGAATATATCAACTTTGATTCAATAAATTTCAGGTACTGCAATTAGAAACTAATCTATTCAAGCATAGGGGGAATTTATTACAATAAGAAGTTAGTTGGTTCTAGTTGCAACATTTCACTGAATATGATACCGTCTTTTATCTCCTTTTAATTTTTTCTGACATCTTTTAAACATATCTATGCATGAATGAATGTGCCGGCTATTTGTTAACAGTGGCAAGTGATTATCAAAACTAAGACTTGCTTTCGCTAGAGGAATCTTTAACTTAGAAACTATGTTACGTTTAGTGTGAAAGCCTCATCTTCCTGCTAAATTGAAGTTTCATATGTTGAGTCATATAGATTTAGTCTACCATTCTAAAGTGCAGGAAGTATATGATGTTATGTGGTAACGACTAATAATAGATCCCATGGAAACTTGTCTCATAATTTAAGACTTATCATTATTTTTCTGTCTACTGACTTTCAGGTAACTCTAACAACTGCTGAATTAACTAATCGGCTTTCGGTGTTTCGGATGGGATGGCAGTTATTCTAAAATAGAGAAACGTAATTGTTTGTCTCAGTAATTGTTAGGATGACCTTTAAAGTCACTCAGTTGCCGTCACGGTCATCGTCACAACTACTGAAATAACCGATTAAGTTTCTTTATTTCGTCTGGAAAGGTAGATTTTTTTTAATAAAACAGAGAAACCTAATTGGTTATCCCACTAGTTGCTACGGTGGTCTTTAGAGTCACTCTTATTTCATGTGAGATAAATGTATCATTTCATCAGTTGCTCGGATAGCTTTTGGAGTCACTCATATTTTTCTTAATATAAATCTAAAACGAACAACGAAAGTGAACAAATCGCGAGTGAATGAATACCTAAAACTCATCAGTTGTGCATAATAAACCACTTATACCATGAATTCATACAAGGATACACAATAATACAATGAATAAGGCGGCGATACATACGTCACAAATCTGGCGATTTAAGTAGATGTTTCAATAGGTTAGAAAGGGATATGAGAATCGAATGAACTGAAGCTACCGTATGTGATGGCATAAAACTAATCAATCAGAAGTTGTACTGTGAGTTGTAATACAATTTTTAATTCAACAAAGTAAGCTCAAAAGCAACATCAAGATTAGACCAGAATGATAAAAATATTTAAAACGTTGGTTAAAAGAATTCACAAAACTATTAAAATACTGCCAAGGTGGATTAAAAGTAGACTAACCACTTTCTTTTAAATACAGAACCTTAGTGTTTGTGTATCTTGTCGTACAGACCCCTTCACTTTCGAGTACTTTCACATTTCGTTGTCTAGTAACGATTGTAAGTTATTTGACGACATCGACGTAATTCATTCGACTTAAGGAATGCTTTATTATGATCAAGCATCACTTCTGAAAGCTGGAATCATTACAATCATAGTGATTTTTCACACCTCCCTTGAGATTCAAAGTCAATGACTGTTTCCTTAAATCATAGGGCACTTGGCTTCCGATAACCACCTGCTGTGAAAAGGGTGCCCTGTCACACTGATTGAAGCACTAAGGTACAATTACATTTACCACAGAAGACTCAAAAAGAACAAAATTTACGCATTAATTCCCGTTGGTAAGCATCAGTACATTACCTCCGTATATCATTTACCACAATTACACACACTATTTTTATCACCTTGACCTATCCAGCTTAGCGTATCAATAACTACTGATTTTCAGTCTAGATGTCATGACTGCTGTATTTCTCATTTTAACTTTCAGATTATTAGGTACAATAGTTTTAATTTTAATAAATTTCTCGGTTTTAAGTGGTGCAACCTCATATAGTTAGAAAAGGTTCTTTACAGCACATAGTCACAATGACAGTTATCCACCACCACTAATTATGGTGAACATTGTGGGATCACTGTAAAATAATTTGTCCGAAAATACTTCTTAATGTTAAATAATTTGAAAGGCGTTAGATCCAGCGTAGGAAAGACTTTGGAGACAAAATAAACACCCACTTCGCCACCTCCATCCAAAAATAGCAGTTAGTCGCTGATGCTAGTCGACCTCATTTCTATAATAATAATGATTATTATTATTAGTATTGGTATTATTATTAGAATACAAATATGGTACATCAAAGGCGCCAAGAAATGCGCCACAAAAAATAATATAACACTATTTTGAGCAAATAAAGCAAAGGAAATTACATAAAAAGAAACACACACCAAGTACAGAATGACTAGAAGGGCAATCCAGTAAGATACATTCAAAACAAAACATTTCATTACTTTTCAACAGCAGGAGATAGAAGGAAGCTACAGCATGACTGTCACTGGTTTCGATACTGAGTTCTGTCTGGTAATATCTTGAGCCACTGAGTTGCGTAGTCTCTCGGAGCCCACCTTGGAAGTCATGGTGCACCAACATATGCTAACCCGATACAACTATCCTTCATCCCACGGTGCCACGTCATACACTGACCACCCTTCCACTCCATCCATCTAGGGCTAACAAAGAATGAACGTCATGGAACCCATCGAGACGATATGCGTAGTACATGTCCAGACCACCGAAGCTGGTGTTTCAAGATGACATCACTTATAGAATGACGACCTCCATCATGCCAAAACACACGTTATCATACCTCGGAGGTACTTACATGGTGTTGCCAGCGGATACGAACAATCCTACAGAGACGACGATGATCAAACACACGGAGTCGCCGCATGTCCTCAGCTCGGAGAGGCCGGGTTTCATAGCTGTAGAGCAGAACCACTCGCACCGAAGAGTTGTAAGCTCTACCTTTTACAGTCAGACTAACATTGCGACGGCACCAAAGCTGGCCCAGGCTAGCGTATGGCTCTGGCTTTTGATATGCAGCTAGAAGTTTCATCATTCATACCTCCACCAGCACACACACAACAACCCGGATATACAAACTTTTCGACAACTTCCAACGCCTCATCACCAAGGGTGAATGCAGGCACAGGCTGCTGCCAATCTTGCAGAAGTACTTTTCACTTTAGTGGAGCAAAGCACATACCATACTTACGGATACACGATATCAACCACTGCATTCATTTTGAACCACCCTTTAAACGATGAACATCTTGATCATATATGACTACTTAATTCCCTGATATCCTAGCCTTCCCTTACCCGCACACACTTCATTTTATTGTGCTAGAAAGAATCATCTTGCAACCGGAATAGAAATACTGCTTTTCGAAGCTTGAGTTTATTCTTTTCGTGAGTTCATCTATTGCTGTTTTCGCCTTTTAGAAACAGAATCAGATAAAAATGATGAAGAAATAGACGAAGATTTCGGTAAATTAACTGAGGATGAGAAGAAAATGAAAATGCTAGACTATTTTGATGAATCAGGATTGAGTATGTTGGTTTGCCTTTTCTTTAAAAAAACAGCAACAATTTAGCTAAAATAATAACATATTTTCTTTCGAAAATGAAAATATAACTGCATTGTTTCGTGCATTCAGATCCCTTGAAAAATCTGGACAAAGCAAGAAGGACTAGATTTCACGAGTACTTAGTCTAAAAGTACCATCGAGAAAGCGATTGTTATGAAATAGATTCAACCTGACCTCTGCAAAGAGAAGGAGAATGCAGTCACTCTCACTACTATGGTGACTATAACTCGATATTCTTTCATTTTAATTACGTAATTCTTTATTTTACTTATCCGCTGTTAGGACATATCCTGACCAACTATGGACTGAATAGTCTGGAAATACCTAGATACCGAGTTTGTATGATTCATCGTATGAGCACACAAATAAAATACACCTTATAGAAAGAATTGCTTATTGTTAGTTGACACTAATCGCTTCTTGCTTACATTCCTTACCCCGACTGTACATTTAATTCTCTTACAAATCATATAGATTATCAATGGTTTCCATGTACAAGTTAAGATTGTTGATTTCCTCATTTTAAACTATCTTACGTGTTAATAACCAGTTTACTTTGAGAGTGTATGCAGCTGAGGAGTACTCGTAAAATAAAATCATCTCATTCTGGAAATCTAGCCCTCCGTGCTTTGTCTAACTACATTAGGTTAAGAATTGATAATCATGTAAAATTCTCAGAGAGAAAGTATACTTAAACTTTTAATAATTCTTTCTTTTCCGCTAAAATATCAACAACAGCGAGTACTTGATCTGGAATTTTATTTTAAAATTATGTCTACATGGATTCGGTTTCTTTATTCTTCATCTACCATGATAATTGATAAGCAGCTTTACTATTCCTTTCATTGAATCCCATATTAAACCATATTTCAATAATAAAGCCTATCAAGTTTAGTAGAATCTACCATCTTACATAACACATGCTTAGATGTTTCCCACGTTAAGTTGTTAAAACTTACTTATTTGATAATTGTCAGTGGATTCATTGGCACTATTTCAGTCTTGAATGAGGGGAGGACTTTTTTCATTAAATTAGGCGTCAATATCATGAATAATTCCTATAGAATGGGACTATTTCTACGAGAAACCAATATATCACTATACAGTATATTTAAGAGCCTATCTACCAGACTGCATAATGAAATGATGAGATCTAATGATTTAAAATGATTGTGGAGAACTAAGCACAAATAATCATTCACGTTAGATAATGTCAGGAAGTTGCAGGCAATATGCAGAAATTCATAAATGCAGGTTTCATGCTTGTTATCACTTTACTGCTGGACATGTGTAAAACTTTCAGGGAACTGATGCTCACCAGGATATTCATACATGTATCACCCAGCTGTGTGGTTAAGGATGTTACTAATCATATATCTTGGTCACCCCGCCCTCATCCAGGGACAAGTTGGACATACTGACTGCTACTGTGGAGTAACCAACGTCATGATATCCTATTCAAAGAGCCGACTCAACTGTTATGATCAGTTTTGCAGTGCTTTAACTGAGCTTTAAGAAATGTCACTGTGATGCACTCATATGCCTTGTGTGTTTAACAGGTCAGTTGCAGCTAGAATAGTTCAGTGTAATGCCTCCAGCTACAGCAGTGAATGATGTTAGATTAATTATCTGAGGGTGCATTACTTGAGCCATTATGTGCAGAAGTTGGGTACATGACTTTCTGTTCACTGCTGTCAACCATTTAGATCAAAGCTCACATAATATAAAAATAAAACCTCGGCACTGCGGTAGACTGTACTTCCGTTGTAGTCTCTTTATTAGAAACGTCACACAGCGAAACAGTAGCATTGACTGGATAACGTTTCGGACTCAATTTATTGTCCATATTCATATCAGGTAACTCCATAACACTGAGACATAGTTTATATATAGTATAATTGTTTTTTTATACCATACCGTCGTTGCATGCACCGAATTGACCGGTCTCTATTGGCATATGGACTCATGTGCGGATGCCTCGATATTGCCTACGTTCCAACTGCATTACTGATGGATCACGGCTAGCAGTGGAATCCAGGATGCACATTTCGTCCTACTTGGGAGTCGTCAGCTGGATTTACCTGCTTCCCAGTGAGTGGTGTTGTTCCCACCGGGATTCGGACTCGGGAGCGATGGCTTTTAACTCCAGGGCGTTATCCACTACACCACCCGAGCCACGATAGCCACTTCTTGTGCGACGGGTATAGTTTTTAGTATAATTGTTTTTTTGTATGATACCGTCGTTGCTTGGAGCGAATTGATCGGTCTCTATTGGCATATGGGCCACGATCCATCATGAATACAATTAGAACACAGGCAATATCGAGGCATCCGCACAAGAGCCCATAGGCCCATAGAGACCGATCGATTCGCTCCAAGCAACGACGGTATCATACAAAAAAACAATTATACTAAAACTATACCCGTCGCACAAGAAGTGGCTATCGTGGCTCGGTGGTGTAGTGGATAACGCCCTGGGGTTAGAAGCCATCGCTCCCGAGGCCAGAATCCCGGTGGGAACACCACTCACTGGGAAGCAGGTACATCCAGCTGACGAGTCCCAAATAGGAAGAAGTGAGCATCCTTTATTCCACTGCTAGCCACGATCCATCATTAGTAGAGTTTATATATTCCTAATTTTCTCTCCCCTGTGATGAGTGATAGAGAGGAAAAGCTTATCAGTAGACCGGAAAATCCACGGCAACAAATCAGACGCATCAAGAATACCCTACATCTCAATAATCACCCACAAAAATTTATAAATAAATTCATAAGAAATTGAAAGAAATATATTAGCAGTGGTAGTAGTAGTAGTAGTAATACAGGTGTTATTAATAATAATTCTACTACTAATGGTAATAATGATGACAGGGTTGGGAGAGAATTCAAAGCCTCTGCTGTGTTGCCACATAAGGATTACACCTCAGAAGCATTACGAAGAACTCTCAATAAGGCTGGAATTGAAGTGGCATTCAAATCAACAAACTCGCTTAGAAACAAGCATTGTAGGTTAAAAGATCCTACTAATCCAATTAGGCAAAATAATCTGGTTTACCACATCCCTTGCAATCATTCCGAGGTCAAATACACAGGTGAAAGCAGTCGACCAGGTTCGATTAGAATAACACTGCACAAAAACTTGGCTAAATCAAGATTAGTAGATCCTAATAGGATAAGAAACTTAGAGAAAAGCTCTGGATGCAATGACACACAATCATGCAGTAGGGTGGGATAGGGGGACAGTGTTGAGAACTAACTTAGTTGGTTGGAGGGAGAGATTGAAAACCGAATCTTTGTTTATCGAATCAACACCGAATACATGCAGAAACAGAAATGATTCTGCACCTGTCCCAGATATGCAGGAAATTCTACTGCCCTTGTCATCACAGAGAAGGAGAGAAAATTAGGAATATATAAACTCTGTCTCGAAGTTGTGGAGTTACCCGATCTGAATATGGACCACAAATTGTGTCCGAAACGTTATCCAGTCAGTGCTGCTGTTTCACTGTGATATTTCTAAAAAACAGACTAAAATGGAAAGTTCACTTAAGAGGCCAGTTTTTAGTTTAATTTTCCCACTACAAACAATCAAAATAATTTTGTCAATTCTTAAAACTATACAATAAAATGTTAGTTACTGTCCAGTGGCGAAACAAGGTGTACGAAAGTGTATATTTCAGCTACAGCAAAATGATAGTTGCGTGATGAACATGAAAGTGAGATGCAGTATTTTTATAGATTCGATTAATGAAGTAGATGTTTTGACAATATTTATACGAATCAAGCGCAGCTTTTTCAGGATAGGCAGTCTATCAATACAGTAAATGTGGTTAAGACTCAATAAAATTTTCTGCTTTTGAAATCTGTGAAGCAGAAGTATTTCACCAAAGAAACTCATCAACCTAGTCTCTTATATTAAATGTTCCGTGGTCATATGATCCTCTGGCAATATGAAATTTCCCTATATCGAATTTCGACGCTTGATTTTTCTACTAAAAGATATTGATTACTTTGATTGAATTGATCTGATATCATTCACCCATTAAAATCATTAAATAAACCACTGTTAGTCTTTAAAATTGTTTTTCTTTTGACAAGCCAGATGTTGTATATATTTCAGAGAAGTAAAGAGTGATTCAGGGTTAATTGGAGTGCAGCAATGTAGGATCTTCTGAAACGCCTCCAGCACAAACAAGAGTGTTTCTGAAATATGTTTCTCACTAGTCAAATTTATGGCTATGCTGAAGGATGAATAGTCATCGACTAACAGTTTAAGGATAAGAAGTGATGTACTAGAATACATTGATCACTTCACTTATCTAAAAATTTGCATCATCCTAAAGCAAGTTAGAACTAGTGATGAAGTCTCAGGATGGATACAATCGACCGGTTGCGGATACACCGATTTATGTCGTCTCTGGTACCAGGAGCAACATAGTCGACTAACTATTTATGGTCAAGCATACTACACACTAGCTTACTATAAGCTTGTAATACATCGCAAGAGAATTTGGAAGTTGTTAGGAGGTCAAACGTTTCTGTTCATACTTATCTCTATTGCAGTTCTTTGATAGCTCTAGCAAGTGGGTTTAAATGCGGAGTACCAAGAAAAGAAAACAATTCTGCCTTTGAAGCTATGAAATTTCACCAATAAAGACGAATGAGATATATGTTAGACGTTCCAACCTGTCATCTACCTCAACGAGAAATGTTATCTTAAGTAGGGAGAGGTTGGAAGAAAGCTAGAAGTAAACAAACCAACACACAGTATCATTCCATAAATTTGCTAACTACTTGTGTAACTCATGTGAATAGTGAAGATGATTGAGGTCTCAAAAATGGTGGAAGTTATTGCTTCGAAACCCCCAATGATATAGCTAAAGATCGACCTTAGTCAGGTGAATGTATACAACTTTCATTCATATATTTTATCGCCTTTCAAAAAGTTTTTGTTCACAGTCTTATCGTTCGGTTTATGTTGACTTCCACTTAATATTCCATTGTGAATTATGGTGAATAAAACTAGTATGATTCTTTACAAAGCTCCATGTTAACCCATCCATTCTATCGAAAAGTACTTCGGGAAAACATAAGTTGACATTTAGAATTCTCAGCTTGCGCGAGACAGCCACACTATTTTTAGATGTACAAACTGTTCGGTAATTATGGACAGAAAAGTGAAGCATTTTGATGATGCATAGTATGTGCCAGTTTATATCAAGTAAAATTACATTCTTTTAAAGATTACAGGCATTCTAACAAATCTCATGAGTAAATACAAACTGTGGATTGCAAGCAGTTTGAAGATATTTCGATATTTGTAAGAGGTAATTATCTGTATATGAATAAATTTCGGATATGCATAAAAACTGATCAATTTTGAAACAGGTTTAAAGTACAGATACCACAGTTCAACCAACTAATTGATTTTCTTCTTAATCACGTTCAACACGAAATATACCTCTAGGCTTTTATTTTTGAGAGCTGAGTAAGCGATGCAAAGTAACAATGCTTTTATCTTCTATACATGTTTTCAAAATTCTCCAATTAAGCTTTCTTGATCTATACAAAACTAAGGATTGACTAATATCACAAGCCTCATTGGCTAAATGCTAACAAAGTAATTCTTGGATGACATATTCCTTGAGTGGTTTTGAAACAATAAAGATGTTTCAAGAAATTCCATCATTACACAATGTTTTCATATACAGCTTACCTCATTTTCTAGGGTGCGAAGGCTTTGCATACACCTGTGCTTACTTTAGTGACCTGAAATTTAATTTTTTCTAACTTTTTCTCACGTACTCTGTTGAAAGGTTTTCATCAGAGGAATTTTTTGCCACATTTTGTGTTATGAAAGTGCGACAAAACAATAAGAAGACGTAAATTGTCTGAACCGTGTAATGTATTTGCACAACACATTTCGCTCTATTGATTTTCATTGTTATTCGGCCTTTAAGTCAGCCTTCCTACCTGACCCCTTTTTATTTTCTCACCCCTTATCTTCACGAGTTTTTATATAAATACCTATGACAAGTACGTGTGTGATCAGATAGTTCGAAATGTGTTGCACAAATACATTACACGGTTCAGACAATTTACGTCTTCTTATTGTTTTGTCGAAGTTTATAAAGGGAACTAATTGTTATGAAAGTGCTCATTTTAATTGGTGCCTAGAGTGAACGATATTCCAGTCGTGAGACTGCTCTTACGAATTTCCATATAAAATAATTTACCTTTTTGTAAATAACTGATTTTCTCTTGATTATTTCATTCATGGGTACCATATTCATATTTTTTTTTTGCAGTAAGCTGTTAGCAGTTCCAAATATGTTTCTCCCGTCATTGCTTACTTAGGATTATTATGTTGTATATTGATTGTTAGAACTGAACACAATGTATAAAACACTACACAGGACAAAGAAGTGAAGAAGACTGCGTGCAAAGACAAAAGACACTTCTACGACACATTGGCAAGTGAAGCAGAACAGGCTCCTGGTAGGAGAGATAGAGACCTGTCAACACTATATCAAATAACCAGGTTAGTATCTGGTAGAGAAGAGATCAGCACAGATGATACCAATAAAAGATAGTTAAGGAGAATTAGTTACCAGAGAGGAGAAACAAAAGAAACGATGGGTTGACTACTTCAAAATGCTCTTGAATCGACCACCACCACCATCTGCAACTCTTCCAGAAATACCACCAGCAACGGCAAAACTATAGGTGAACACAGGCCCTCCGACAAAAGCCGAAGTCCTGAGTGCCACAAAGCTGCTGAAATGAGGAAAAGCAGCAAGACCAGATGGAATTCCACCAGATGCGCTGAAAACAGACGCAGGGACATCAGTAGCTGACATGCTCACACCACTATTGCAGAAGGTTTGGAAGAAAGGAAAAGGTACCTGCCTGTTGGTTGGAAGAATAGCTACCTTGTCAAACTCCTAAAGAGGGGAGACCTAAGCATTTACAAGAACGATAACTGGCTCGGAATCATGCCTCTGTCCACCTTAAACAAAATATTAAGCCGCATCATCCTGGAGAGACTAAAATATGCGCCGGATTGAAAATTGAGACCGCAACAGGCTGGATTCAAGAAGCACAAATCATCTCCGGATCAAATTGCAACGATATGCGCCATCATAGAACAGAGTATAGAATGGCAATCAACTATTTACCTTCAACACTACGGAGTGCCACAAATCTTTATCAACCTCATTCAACAGCTATATGAAGACGCCACATGCCAAGTGATCCACAATGGAAAGCTCAGTGACACCTTTGAAGTGAAGACAGGAGTAAGACAAGGCTGCCTACTATCACCGGTGATTTTCCTGATTGTAGTCGACTGAACGGGACTGGGACATGCAGCGGACCGTGAGAAGTGAGAAGATGGGCTTAAGTTGTTTGACCGATGAAAAGAGCTTAGAAGATTTGGATTTCGCTGGTGATTTTTGTTTAATGTCTTGTCGCACAAACTCGAAGATTTAGTGGCAAAAGCCAACAAATTGACAGAAGAGGGAGCGAAGATGGGACTTCAAGTGAATGTAGAGAAGACAGAGGTGAAGAAGATACCCAACCAATAACAACAACAACAACAACAGGCACTAATCATTTTCAACGGGAGAAACCTAAAGGAAGTTGTCTCTTTCACCTACATACCTAAGCAGTATCGTTTCAACTACAGGTGAGACAGGTGAAGACGTCAAAGCAAGGGTCAGAAAAGCAAGACAGGCCTTTGTTAACCTGAAACCAGTGTGGAGGTCTACTGCACTGCATTGCACTAAGCATAAAGAACAAGATCCGGATTTTCAACACTAATTCAATCAAGTCAGTGTTGCTATATGGTTCAGAAACTTGGGGTGTTATGAAAATCATTCATCACCAGCTGCCTACTCTCACTCGATACTGAAGATCAGATGGACAGAATAATAAGAATGAGCAACAAGGAACTCTGGCCTGACATGCAACGAACCAACCAAGAACCCATCTTCCAACAAACACGTGGGAGAAGGTGCAGATGGATTGGATTTCTCATACACTGAGTAGACCGTCTGGAGACATCACGTGCCAGGCCTGGTCGTCGAGTGAAACCCAAAGGGGAAACGACGAGTTGGTCGTCCGAGGTGAGGGTGACATGGAGGAGATCATGTGAGGAAGGAAAAAAAGCTTCTGGGGAGTCGTAGCGTCTGGTTTAAAAGACTGGAGAGAAGAGGGTGAAATGGCGACGTGCTACATAAGCCATATGTTCCACTAGGAACCCAAAAGATAAATAATAAACAATAATAATAATAACAATAATAATATTGATTGTCACATTAGAGGTAATTTATAGAGAGTTTCAGGTTTTCTCTGGCAACATTACACTATGATGAATGAATGTCATGCTTATGCCAAAAGAGAAAGTTGGGTTTCTAAGATGCTGTTACTTTGTTCTAGCTTGAATAAATCAGCACGAATTTAAGCATACAGTTTAAATGTTGAATTCCCTTTATTTTCAACAAAAAAACACTAATGTAATAATCTAGCCAGAAATTCAGCTTTCATATAATAATTGTAAGCAGTAAATTGAATAAATTAAAGATTAGAATTTTTGTCTGTGAGTTTGCAACGATATGTTCACCGGGACAAATTAATCGTTAGTTGTGAATATTTTTGTTAGGAACATAGACCAGCTTTGTAATCGATGAAAAAAAGTAACTGGTATATATACCCCTGATTTCACCTAACTTTTGCCCGATATTTGCCTATAACCTTAAAATAAGCTTATTATTGCTGTTTTTGCACCGTTGCTAGCCTTTGTTTTTCCCACTGCTTCTGAAAGCTAAAGTCTTATTGATTGTTAACTCTTTTAACTTATCAGTGACTTTAGTGTTATCAAGGCGGTATGGAAATATATATATATATATATATATATATATATATAAGGGGTCACTGTCATCTGTTTTGACTGTTGTTGAGACAGTAAACGCTCTCCGTCTTTTCTTCCTGTCTTCGCTTGATGGTGGTATTGTTGTTGTGATTGTTGACGTTTTGATTAGGTTCGTATCGCTCATAGACTGTTAGTTCGCATTACCAATGACAGCAGCAAGTTATAATCTTGAATAACTACAGCTATGTATCCAGTTACACACAACACAGCATTTTTTACATCGAAATTCGGGCGCTGCTATATCATCATGGGGAGCTAATGAGGACCGAAATAGGTAACATCTCTATTGTTGAATGGATTGAATCGGATTGTAAAAAGAGTAATAATCTTTCTCAGGAGACAAAGTCTCCTGCTGAAGAATTTATTATAAGGTGAACTGAATAATGTACCTTTCAACTGAGCTCACAAAAACACGCTAGTGGTAATCAAGTGTCTATCATTGATCAATGTTGATATAAGTTTTGAAAATTTTATTCTTTTCGGTGTTCAGTGAATCAGACACTTCCTTATATGTGTCATATAAGTTTCTACCGTTAAAATAACTTGAAACATTGGCTTTCATCACATGCTTATTGAATACTATTAAGGACAACGGTTTACCTCATCAATTTATATATATTTCTCATTTATTGTTGTTCTCAGAAACGTGTAATTCTCTTACTAACATTCACATACTTTTCAATGAGTAATTTTAAAATAGCTTTGGTTAACAATAACCTTCTTTCTTGATTGCTTTTTTTTCGTAGCTGAAATGATGAAAACTGCTATGTTTGAAGCAGCCGATAAAAGACCATTTGATCCGATAACTTATATTGCTGAAAGTCTTGTAAAACAATATCACTCACAAAAGAATTAGAAAGCATTACTTTCAAATACTTATAAATTACTTAGCTTTTGTAAACTCTGTATCACTTATTTTTCATTTAGTTCAAATGAAGCTACTTTAATCATGTACCGAAATAACAAAATTAAAGTTACCTGTTTATTGAAAAATTGTTCTGCATGATAACTGGTTTCACTTGAAGATGAAATTTAATAAGAGAGTTGAGGGATAGAGACAGCGGTAATTTTTTCTTTTTCAGAAGTTCACACCCTCAAACTCTTCCAAACTCCTACTTGGGAAATGTATCTCAAGCTAGGCATATTATCGTTCATTTTAGTTGCCGAGTAGTTTCCTTATAGAGTGTGAAGTATTATCCATAATATGAGTATTTTAACTGAGGCAAGATTGGACCATTTTTTAAAGAAATAAAACGAACAATTTTTTCAGCAAAAACTTTTTCAGTAATGTAAACTTAAAAGTGTAAGCAAAAACATTGAAAATGTTTGTGGAATAATGAAACTGAGTGTAACTACTATAAAAGGTAAAAACATCCGAATGTTGATTTAACATCAAAACTCAACAGAAAGACCATATTGATAGGTCAATATAAAGAGCCTGTATCCCAACATGAACTGAGTAGTGCACTGCACTGGTAAGTTCCAAGCTCTGCAACAATATTTACTCATTGAACAATAGGTGACTGTTGTAGATCCATGAATAATACTATGCCTTTTGAAGTGACGAGGATTTAAATTAAGTCTGAATGAGACAATTATCCCTCACCAGGATACACATACCTCTAATTAACCAGTCCATAAGATGCACTGTATGTTTCAGTAAAAATATTGTTAATTCCCTTCTTACTTTGTTTTCATTTACTCAGTGATGATACGCTTAAGTTCCTTTTTATGGCTTCAGTTTTATACTACTTAGTATTATTGAGTAGTAAAGTTCATATCTCATTGCGACATCAAAAACAAGATATTCAGCAAAGACGAAGCTTTTCAACGAATTTATTCTCAAGTTGTACATTCGTATATATATGATATTTAAAGACTGTAATCCATGAGGAAGATTTAACTTAAATAATGGGGGGGGGGGTTGGAATAATAATAGTGGTTACAATTATAGTGTTGCTAGTTGATGACGTAAAGGTCGAATGACCATAATCATAATTATCACCACCATTATTATTATTCCAAACCCCCATTATTTCAGTTCAATCTTCCTCACTGATTACAGTCTTTAAATATTATATATATATATATATATATATATATATATATATATATATATATATATATATATATATATACGAATGTACAACTTGAGAATAAATCCGCTGAAAAGAGTCCTCTTCGCTGAATATCTTGCTTTTGAAAATTCATATCTTCTGAGAATGTTATTTCATCTACAACTTTGTTCATTTATCATTTGATATCTCTGGGTATCAGTACCTTACCCAGTTCACCATGGTTTTGAGATCCGTTCCGTTGTCCCCTGATGTCCGATTTTATCTTGGAAATTTGTTTATCTTATGTCTTTGCCTCACCATGGAAAAATACTAGCGTCTTTTTTATTCCGTTTTGGCTTACTTTGGACACACCCTTGCTGTTTGTACTGTTGAAACGCATTCTCTATAAGGAGCTTTGATAGCCACAAACCAATACACATACCATGAACCGAGGTTTTTATTCTATTAGTCACTATTGTTCATTAACACAGAACTGTATTTCAGACAGATACAGTGTTTTGAATTTTGCGCGTAGCCCTGGCGCTTACCCTATTAGTGAAGACATTCACGTTGCTGCTGATAAACTTAAGATAGAAAGCCTCAATGGTGTTTTTGTCGGCAAATATGATTATGATCTACATAATTTAAAACGCAATGACTTTGGAAGAGATATAGTCAACTTGATTTACTGACATTTGATTCACTGAATTGATTTTCATGTTGAAACGAACTGAAAAATATTCACATCAACAAGCCAGTTGGAAATATATATTCTGTGCGAAACCACCAATGTATTCAGTATGAATCTGTCTGCATATCAAAATCAACAACGTCGTCCAATTATTTTCAAATTCTATTAGATGATAACGTCTTTCGTATTGAGGAGATAGTATATGAAATTTTCGCTCAGTGTCATTTTATCTTATAACTTTCAGGGGATTATAAGAGTAATGGTGCATAATGCAAACTTTTTACAGTAATCAAACACTTGAGCCAGTGTGCCCATCAAAAATAAAATAAAAAGCTACAATCTATCCTCAGCGGATTTTCAATCCCCCCCCTTATTAGATTCTTGAGTATAATTTACTCTCTTACTTTTCTTCAATTACTGATTATGATAACAGAAAACTGGTGAGTAGTAACTGTGGTAGTATTTCGTAAATATCAGCGATGATGATTATCATGTGTTATTCAGCAAAAAACGACACGATCCTATTTCCTCATTTCTCCTTTTTTTTTAACCTATCCCATTAGGTCATATTATATCCTTTTTAATAACACTAACAATATATGAACTGGCATACTTTTCTCGTTAAGAATTTGGCGTGATAGAACCTAACTGTTGTAAGGCACCAGTTATGTATAAAATGTTATCGATCTGAACATTTTTAACTTGGCATTCTAACACCATTTTACAGTATGACTAGTAATTTAATTTCTGCCCCTATTGTAATGTAATTCTCTGACAGGTTAACTTTTACTGTTACTATGCGAGCTCTCCAATTGCGGACAAGGTCATATTTTATGTGTACACATATTCACGTGTTTTGGATTGATTGATTATTCTCGGAGTAACAAACTCTCCCATCTTCCAGCTTTGGTCTTCTCTCTGTTCGTCCTGTGGTTTCAGTCAGTGGCTCTTGCGTACTAAGTTGGCTGACAGCTGAGCGTGCGTATTCTATTATTCGGAATATATATATAGCCGTTGGCGTACCAAGATATAACTAGCAGATTATGCAGCTATGTTGGAAAAGTTGACAAGTTGGTTGAAAGAGATAACCATTCACAAGTTTGATCATTAAAAGTGGCATTGTATCCATCAGTGTTTTGTGAGTTAGAATACTTTAAATAGTCAGACTCGATTAAGTTCGTACAGTCGCATCTGGCAAAAGATTAAAAATAATTCATTTTAAGAAGATGTATTACAAGCTTATAGTAAGATAGTGTGTAGAATGCTTGACCATAAATAGTTAGTCGACTATGTTGCTCCTGGTACCAGAGACGACATAAATCGGTGTATCCGCAACCGGTCGATTGTATCCATCCTGAGACTTCATCACTAGTTCTAACTTGCTTTAGGATGATGCAAATTTTTAGATAAGTGAAGTGATCAATGTATTCTAGTACATCACTTCTTATCCTTAAACTGTTAGTCGATGACTATTCATCCTTCAGCATAGCCATAAATTTGACTAGTGAGAAACATATTTCAGAAACACTCTTGTTTGTGCTGGAGGCGTTTCAGAAGATCCTACATTGCTGCACTCCAATTAACCCTGAATCACTCTTTACTTCTCTGAAATATATACAACATCTGGCTTGTCAAAAGAAAAACAATTTTAAAGACTAACAGTGGTTTATTTAATGATTTTAATGGGTGAATGATATCAGATCAATTCAATCAAAGTAATCAATATCTTTTAGTAGAAAAATCAAGCGTCGAAATTCGATATAGGGAAATTTCATATTGCCAGAGGATCATATGACCACGGAACATTTAATATAAGAGACTAGGTTGATGAGTTTCTTTGGTGAAATACTTCTGCTTCACAGATTTCAAAAGCAGAAAATTTTATTGAGTCTTAACCACATTTACTGTATTGATAGACTGCCTATCCTGAAAAAGCTGCGCTTGATTCGTATAAATATTGTCAAAACATCTACTTCATTAATCGAATCTATAAAAATACTGCATCTCACTTTCATGTTCATCACGCAACTATCATTTTGCTGTAGCTGAAATATACACTTTCGTACACCTTGTTTCGCCACTGGACAGTAACTAACATTTTATTGTATAGTTTTAAGAATTGACAAAATTATTTTGATTGTTTGTAGTGGGAAAACTAAACTAAAAACTGGCCTCTTAAGTGAACTTTCCATTTTAGTCTGTTTTTTAGAAATATCACACAGTGAAACAGCAGCACTGACTGGATAACGTTTCGGACACAATTTGTGGTCCATATTCAGATCGGGTAACTCCACAACTTCGAGACAGAGTTTATATATTCCTAATTTTCTCTCCTTCCCTGTGATGACAAGGGCAGTAGAATTTCCTGCATATCTGGGACAGGTGCAGAATCATTTCTGTTTCTGCATGTATTCGGTGTTGATTCGATAAACAAAGATTCGGTTTTCAATCTCTCCCTCCACCCAACTAAGTTAGTTCTCAACACCGTCCCCCTATCCCACCCTACTGCATGATTGTGTGTCATTGCATCCAGAGCTTTTCTCTAAGTTTCTTATCCTATTAGGATCTACTAATCTTGATTTAGCCAAGTTTTTGTGCTGTGTTATTCTAATCGAACCTGGTCGACTGCTTTCACCTGTGTATTTGACCTCGGAATGATTGCAAGGGATGTGGTAAACCAGATTATTTTGCCTAATTGGATTAGTAGGATCTTTTAACCTACAATGCTTGTTTCTAAGCGAGTTTGTTGATTTGAATGCCACTTCAATTCCAGCCTTATTGAGAGTTCTTCGTAATGCTTCTGAGGTGTAATCCTTATGTGGCAACACAGCAGAGGCTTTGAATTCTCTCCCAACCCTGTCATCATTATTACCATTAGTAGTAGAATTATTATTAATAACACCTGTATTACTACTACTACTACTACCACTGCTAATATATTTCTTTCGATTTCTTATGAATTTATTTATAAATTTTTGTGGGTGATTATTGAGATGTAGGGTATTCTTGATGCGTCTGATTTGTTGTCGTAGATTTTCCGGTCTACTAGTAAGCTTTTCAATCCTCGCCTGGTTAACTAGTTCACTAGTTGCCAGCCAGTCCTATGCC